GATGTTGTCGAGAGGGTGCCCACTGCAAAAGCAACTTTGCCCACCAGCGCCCCAGATTAATTCAAGGGTGACTGATCCTCCCCCCGCTTCGCCGCCTCACGAGCGAGAAGGAGTAGGTTCGGTGGGCGAGTGGTGGGGGCAGCGGGGCACAAGGGCGGAGGTGGAGCCAGGAGGGAGTGAAGGTTGGGTGAAGGCCCCTTCAGGACCTTGTGGAACATTGGCTCTTCGTGGTGTCGCCTCCGAGGCCCCAGCTCTACGCTGGTGATAAAAGCCACTACCAAAGAGAGGGCTATATCCACTGGTCTTGGAAATAGGTTGTTCCACCCATGTGGCCACATGAGGCTGGTGCTTTCGCAACGCGGCGGGCTATCAACACACGTGGGTGAGAACGCCACGGCGTGCTTTGGAGCCTCATCTGACCATGGACCCACTGCGTAGCACAGCCTGTTGTAGATGTAGCCGTTGTAGGTGCAGGTGGCAAATCGGATGACTGTGGGTGAGAAAACTACGGCGAATTTGAAGCCCTATGCTACCGTGTTACCGTGGACTCCCTATCTTCGCATCTCCCGAAGTTGCCGCTGTCGCCGTTTGTTGATGCTGCCGTCGTCCGGGAGCAGGTGTGGCCGCGTGCCGCGTGCCGTAAGAGATAGAGTCCAGCTGCTGCTGCTGCTGCTGCTGCTGCTGCTGTCGTAACAGTGAGTGCGGCGGTTTGGGCAAACGATCGTGCAGAGGTCGGGAGTCGGTAATGGGACAGCTGGTGGCGCGTGGCGCTGCCACAACAGAAATGGGCAGGAATCTGCGGTCGCTGGTGGCAAAAGCTGTGCGTGCGGGGAGTCGTGACGCACTGACGGGCCTCTGTATGGCAGGTCCCGTCTCGGCATGAGGGTGGCGCTCGCCTCTTAGCCGTTGGTTGTCGGGAGAGGAGGGGTTCCCCCTCCCCCTCCCTCCCCCTCCCCCTCCCCCTCCCCCTCCCCCTCCCCCTCCCCCCCCTCCCTCCCCCTCCCCCTCCCCCTCCCCCCCTCCCCCTCCCCCCCCCCCCCCCCCCTCCCCCTCCCCCTCCCCCCTCCCCCTCTCCTCCTCCTCCTCCTCCGCCTCCTCCTCCTCCTCCTCCTCCTCCTCCTCCTCCTCCTCCTCCTCCTCCTCCTCCTCCTCCTCTCCTCCTCCTCCTACCCTCCTCCCCCCCTCCTCCCTCCTCCTCCTCCTCCTCCTCCTCCTCCTCCTCCTCCTCCTCCTCCTCCTCCTCCTCCTCCTCCTCCTCCTCCTCCTCCTCCTCCTCCTCCTCCTCCCTCCTCCCCCTCTCCCCTCTCCCTCTCCCTCTCCCTCTCCCTCTCCCTCTCCCTCTCCCCCCCCCTCACTCACTCCCCGCCGCTCCCTTCGAGCTCCTGCAGCCGGCGCGTGCACGGGCGATGGCCGCAGCGCGTCCTGGCAACGCTGTTGAAGCAGTCGGCCCACCAGTTGTCCCAGAGCTCCTGGCACACCGGGGGGGGCGGGCCGCCCGGGGGGGGGATGGGGCTCTGCGCGCACGAGTCGTGGAGGCGCCACCGGGCTTCCTGGCAGCGCCTCGGGGACGCAAGAGGCCACGGGGCGTCCAAGACGGCCCGCCCCTCAAGCCCCGACCGCCTGGGGTGACGGGGGGGGAAAGGAACCGGAAAGGGCAGGGAAGGGAATGGGGAGGGCTGGGTAGAGGGAGCAGGGCGGAGGACCCTGACTTCGGATCCGCCGTACTTTGGTTGAGTTTCCGACTTAACATCGTATCGGGAACGCGCCCCAAAGGATGCGACAAACGCAGGGCGTCAACTTCCGCCTCGGGAAGAAATAGGTCGCATATTTCCGCAATGGTATATGTGGAAACGGCGACGACGAAGTATAGCGGGCATCGACATCGAGGGAGCTTGAAATGTAGGGCGGGAAGTCCCGCCCTGCTTGTGACATCGCCCAAAAAAGTACAGCGGATCCGAAGCCAGGGGCCCTCCCAGCCCAGCCCGAAGACCCGCACTTCGGGTTGGGGGGGGAGTACGGGTTCCAAACGTGTTCTTCAGTGTTCCCCGACTCCCCCTGGAAATGGAGGGCAAATCGGGGTCTTCTTGAAGTCTTGGGGGCCTAGAAATGGGCACCAACACCAACATAGGGGGCTGCCTCCACATGGGGAAGACGATCCTAGATTTCGGTGTTGGTGGCAATATTTCGGCCACCTTGGAAGCCAGAATATTACCACCATCACCAAGATCGGGATATTCTTCCCTCGGTAGATGCACATCACCGATATTGGTGTTGGTGTCAATCTCTGGGCCTGCGGTCTTCGGGTCGGGCTGGGGGTGGTTTGCTGGACGGCGAGGGGCGGGACCCATCCGCATCGAGCCCAGGAGCGGGCGACAGCGGAGCGCGCGCCGGATCGGGCCGCACCTGCACGACGGGGCTGGCATCGAGTCGCGTCCGCCGCGACAGGGTGCACCGCGGCGCCGCGCAGGCCCCGGGTGGTAGCAGCGGACCGCCGAGGCATCGAAACCGAGTCGCATCGGGCCAGGTATAGACTTTCGATGAAAAAGTAAAAATTCCCCGACATAAGTATGGACGGCCTCGAATCGTATCGGTCAGATCGAAAAGGGGGGCCCTCGGGGAGGGGGCAGGACAGAGCAGGGCTGCTCGCTGCCAGTCGCAGCAGCACCGGCAACCGCCGCAGCGCCGGCTGGCTACCGCCAGCAGGGGCCCGCACCCGCACACCAGCCGCAGGGCGGTGCGAGGGCAGAGAGCAGGGGCAGGCGCGTTGGGGGGAGGCTGATTACACAGGAGGGGGAAGGCTAGTTACACAGGAGGGGAAGGCTAATTACACAGGAGGGGGAAGGCTAATTACACAGGAGGGGGAAGGCTAGTTACACAGGAGGAGGGAGGCTAATTCTACACAGGAGGAGGAGGGAGGCTGGCTCAAGGGGGGGGCGGGCGGACACCGATCTGGAGTCGGCGGCACATCGCGGACTGCTCGGCCATGGGCTCTCGACAGCGAATCCGCACGCGCCTGGGCGGGGTGGGCTATGGAGCTTCACATCGGCGACGAATGGGCGATGTTGGGCGATGCACTCCCCCTCGAGCTTCTCCCCCCCTCCTGACGTTGCGCCTGAAGGAAGGGGGGTAGGGGAGACGGGGAGGGTCAGGTCCTCATCCCACCGCCGAAGTGACCAGAGATGGATGTCTGCCATGCGAGATGCCCACGAGGTGATGCCCGCGGCTTCGAGTCGAAGCGACGCCCCGCGGCTACGGCGCCGCTTCCAGACATGCGCACCTTTTTGCTTTTTCGCAATCGCTGAGTCGCCATCTGTGGTCGAGGCAATGATTCAAGCTTCCTGGCTGGCCGACGGCCGGCCGACTTATTCTGAAAGTATGGGCTGCAACGCAACGACGTAAGAGACACTGCCGCAAACATATCCGATGGGATATACACGAGAGTTCCCATCCAGACCGAACGGCTCGAAAGGCCTGTTGCGCCGGCCGGCAACCCGACGCGTCCTGGCAGAAGAGCTACAGTGCGCCAGCGGCCGCGCGGAACCTTCGCAAGGAGCCCAGCCCTGAAAACCCGCGCGCGAGAGGCACCCGTAGGTCGAACCCTACCCCCAGCAACCATCGATTCTCCCGAATCGATGGGAGTCGGGGGTAGGGTCCGGACTTCGCCACGTGCCCTAGTAGAACACGTGGCGAAATCCGAACCCTATCCCCCGACCTCGTAGTACGGATTCGGAATTCGTAGTCCGGAAGGCTCGGGAATCCGCGAACCCAGGGGTAAGGTTCGGAATTCGCAGTACGAACTCCGAACCCCTACCCCTGGCGCCAGTCCAGCTGCCCGAGTCGTCGATCGGCGAGGGGGTAGAGCTCGGACTGCGCCGCCGCACACCGGGGGGACCCAGAGCACCCTGCACGCGGCGATGGCCTCTCCAGCGTCCGCCGAAGTCACCGCCGACAGAGCGCGGCTCGAAGGAACCCAAAAAATACCCGGACGAAAAAAGCATCTGAGCGGCTGAAAGAAACGGGTCTTACGAGAGACTCGCCGCGAGGTGGCCTAGCGACCTTACGCCGCGGCTCACGCCGGCCGCCAGCGTGGCACGCTGCGTTGGAAACGAGGGCGCTTATGCGCTACCTTGCGCGGACAGCGTACGCGCGAATGTCGGCGCAGCCGAGCCCGTTTTTGTTAGGGTCGCTCTTCTGGCTTCTTGATGCACGTCCCCACTGTATGCGACACCGCCCTGCTGTTTCTTCCAATGACAGAGAATGCGTCGAGCACACATCCAACCAGCCCACTGTCCGCCTTGCGCTCTGACCTCCAAGACTGTCGTGATCAGCGCAGCGGAATACCGCTCCAGAGCCAAATCTTACTCTGACCTCCGCCGTTCCGAAAGCATTGCATCGCAGAGCATCACGACCGGAGCTCTGGACCCCACCTTTCGGCTGCATTCTCGTGGCGGATGGATCTGTGATGGCCGCAGTGCAGGAAACCGGGCGACAGCTCTCATTGTGACAAAATTTCACCCCCCAGATCTGAGGTTACTCCAGATTTCGTAATAAAGGGAGGGGGGTCTCATTTCGGGGGGGGGTCTCTTCCAGGCTATCTTGGAGGGCCTGGGGGGGTCTGGGGACGATGTTTTGGAGGGTTCTCCCACGGGGGAGGTCTGAAATGGCTTGTCTTGGATCTGGAGAAGGCAAGCAACATCAATGTTAGCCAACGTGGGCCCCCAAGCAGTGGGTTGTTGCACAGTGGTCGTGGAAGCTGTGCGGTGTAAGCTATTTGGTGGAAACTGTGTAGTGAAAGCTACTCCAGATTTCGTAATAAAAGGGAGGGGGTCTGGACCCTCCAAGACAAGCTATTTCAGACCTCCCCCGTGGGAGAACCCTCCAAAACATCGTCCCCAGACCCCCCAGGCCCTCCAAGATAGCCTGGAAGAGACCCCCCCCGAAATGAGACCCCCTCCCTTTTATTACGAAATCTGAAGTATGTCGTGTCAGATGTGTGGTGTGAGCTGTGTAAGTGAAAAGCTATGCGGTGCAGGTTATGTGGTGAGGACTATGTCGCGTAAGCGATGTGGTGCGAGGTATGGAAGTGGCAGGTATGCGGTGCTCGTTGTGTGGTGCAAGCTATGCGGTGTAGCCGTGCAAGCGGTGCATGCTATGACGTGCAAGCCATGTGGTGTGAGCCATGGAGGTGACAACCATGCTGTGTGAGATGTGTGGTGCAAGCTACGTCGCGTAAGCTATGTGGTGAAACACAGGTCGCGCAAGCTCAGATAACTCGGGGATGGACAGACCTCCCTTTAGTAAAACGTGGTTTAGTGAAAACGACCTCGGGCCCAAACCTGGCGGGCGCAAGCCTGGAAAATAACGGCCGCGGCGCCCCCTCGAGAACCGAAGACGGACCATTCACTCATCGACGTGTCACCGTCAGGAGGTCTGTCCACCCCCGAATGACGGGCTCCCAGACGAGGCGCCCCCGAGGCCGCACGGGCGGCAACGTGGCGCAACCTCGACCCCCCCCCCCCCAGAAGCGCGGGGCGCCCACGGGGCGGCGCCCACGGGGGCGGCGCGGGCGGCGGCGCGGCGCCACCTCGGCGTGCCTCCCAGCACGCGGGGGGCGCCCGCGAGGCACCCGCGCAGCGGCCGCGCGGCAAGACCCGCACCCTCCACGGACCCCCCCCCCCAAAGCGGGGCCCCCCGCGCGGCGCCCACGAGGCGGCGTGGCGGCGGCGTGGCGCCACCTCGGCGTGCCCCCCCCCCCCCCGGGGCCCGCGGCGCGGCATGCGGCACGCCGCGCGGCGAGACCCCGCCCACACCGTCAGCCCGTATGGTAAAGGTGCGCGGTAAGGATGCGAGGGCCCTGGGCGCCAACTTCGATGCAATTTCCGAGCGGGTCGCGGCCAGCGAAGGTGGACAGGGATGGACCGAGGAGGCCAGGATGCAAGGGTAACCCTTGGGAAGGCTGCCCATCCTTCGTGTGCGGGCTGACTGTGCGCATCCTCTTCCTGGAGGCAGGCAAATGAGGGCCCCCAAGTGCAGGCACCGTCTGGGGAGCCTGAAAACCAGCAGCGCCTCCCTCCAGTCCCTGGCAGCAGCCGCCCCCGGCATGCGTCGTCGAGTGCCCCAGCCCGCCGCAGCAGACTGCCACAGTCCGTAGCAACACGGTGCTCGCATCGCCTCCTCGAGCCCCGTCCGTGCACGCGCGGAGATCCCGGCGCCGCTGCCTGGCCTGGGCGAAGGGGCCTGGATCGCGCCAGTCCCAGCGCCTCGCCCCCAACATCCCTCCCAACTTCTCACTCCCGCCCCCCCTTCCTCCACGCCCCCCTCCAGAAGAAACACGTGCATACTTGTAGACCTGGCCGCATGAACACATTCGGACGCGGTTGATGTCCCCACAAGACAACAAGCCAGGAAAGAGGGCCTCAGGCGCACATCCCGTCCACGGACGGGCGGCTGCGGGTTGCTGCCGCCGCCGAAGGATTGCATACACAAAAGCGCCGACTCAAGAAACTCCGCGCGGAAATCCGAACGTTTTACGCTTAAGCCGTCATTTTCGAGGGGCAGCGATCGGGAGGACTGGCACAGGGAGGGGGGCAACATCGACCTGAAATCGGCGATACATCGCCGATAGATCGGCGTTCGGCCCCCGATAGATGGTCGTTCGGCCCCCGATCGAAGATACGTCGCCGATAGATGGTCGTTCGGCCCCCGATAGCGAAGCCGCACGTTCCTGGGTGGGGTGGGCTATCGGCCCCCCCCTCGGCGATCAACGGGCGCCAGGCGGTCGACGCCTCCCCCCCTTGAGCCTCTCCCCCTCTATCGTTGCCCCTGATGTGCTCTTGGACTCCGGCAGCACCAATCCACTCTCCCTCTGGGACCTCGCCCCCTGCTCCAGTCCATTCGGGTCGGGCGAAAGGGGGGGGATAGCAAAGGGGGGGTTTGAGAATCAGCTCACGTAGCTGATTTTCCCGGCGCCTCCCGGCGCCGGAGGCGGCCATGTATCGAGGAATGGGCCCCTCGGTGAGGCCGAAACCAGCTGCATGCAGCAAATTTCGTAACCCCCCCTTTCCCAATCCCCCCCTTTCGCCCGGCCCGATCCATGGCGTACCTTGTCCTGTGCAAACTCTTCGGCGCCGCCTGTTCTCTGAGCCCTCCGGCCGCCTGAGGCCCTGCCCGCCCGCGCCGTCTCCCCAATTAAGGCTACTCGCGCCCCGTTTAGCTCTTGACCGGAAGGGGCCCGCTCCCGACCCGCAGACCAAAAATGTGTTCTTGGACTCCCTGGGGTAAGAGGGGGGGCTTAGCACAAGGGGGAGCAGCAAGTCGCGGCCCGAGGCTCGCGCGCGGCCCAGGGGGAGGGGGGGGTGGCAAGGGCGAGAGACGTCTCGATGCAAGACGCGGGGGCCGTGGTATCCGGGGGATCGCGGCCCCGGCCATGACGTCCGCCTCCTCCCCTGGTCCTCACCCCGCCAGCGTCCCCCCCTCCCCTGGTCCTCCCCTCGTCCTCGCATCCCCCCCCCTCCCCTCGTCCTGGAGCTTCCAGGTCGAGGCAGGCAACCGGGCCGCCGAGCTGGCCCAAGCTGCCTCCAGGACGGACCGAGAGGGCCCGAGGGCGGCCCTGTGTTGCCCCAGGACGAGGGGGCCATGACATCCCCCTCCACTTGTCGCTCTACAATGCATCGCGTACCGTTTCGGGATCATTGCCCTGCTCGACATCCGACTGTGCGAGTAGAGAGGGGATCTACGCCATGGTAAGGGATGGGAGGGAGGGGTAGGATGTCGGATATGACGCGAGCGCACCTAGCTCGTCCTCCCCACTCCCCTTTGTCCTCCCCCCCCCACCTTCCGACCCCTCGAGACCTGCTCCACTCGGGCACCGCTGAAGGCGGGGGGGGGGGGGGCAACCCACGGGACGGGGGGGGGGAAGACAGGTGCGCCGTTCGTGCACGCACCAGGGGGGCCGCCTGTAGGGCCCCTCTCGGGCCCCTTCCCTGCGGCCCTCGACCCCCCCCAAATTGATCGAGGCCTCTCGATTGGGGTCCGAGTAGATGGGGTCGGAGGATCGCGCCGCATCGCCGATACATCGCCGATGCATCGCCGGTGCATCGGCGACGTCGGCGTGTGGGCCTCACAACGAGCCCGCATCGCCGATGCATCGGCACTGCGGCGCAATCCTCCGACCCCATCTAGTCTTGGGCCTCGGGAGGCCTGGAATGTGTCACCCCCGATGCAGTCGAAACAGGGCCACAAGAGCGTGGATCAAGAGCACAAGCCCCGTGGCCCAAGGCAAAGGGCCCCACGGAGGAGCGCGACACGAGGCGCGTCTCGAGGTGGGGGGGCCCGACGGGGAAGCGCGCGAGTGCACCCCTCCGAGGCCCAGGATTTGTGCGGCCCGCGTGCCGGCTGTGCGAAACTAGGGGCCTCCTAGCCTCCTATAAGGTCCTGGATGGGTCGGAACAGATGGGGTGGGAGGATCGCGCCGCATCGGCGTCGGCGACGTCGGCGGTGCATCGGCGACGCCGGCGCGGAGAGAATCTGGCCGCACGCCGAGCCACATCGGCGATGCATCGCCGATGCATCGGGGAGGCGGCGCGACCCTCCGACCCCACCTGCTCGGGCCCCACCTGGGAAGCCTGGAGAAACGCCCCAACCTCCGTACTCCTCCCGTCGACCTGGGCTTAGGTCGGGCCTGTCCACCCACAGGGGGATTTTGGGCGAAAGATCAAAAAAACTGAAAAAATACACCAAAAATTGTCAAACATGGTAGAACGATAGGCCCCTGACATTTTTTCCTAGTTTTGGATATTCCCCCTGTAGAGGGACAGGCCCGACTTAAACCTGGGCGCCTCCGTCATCTCTTCTCCTTGCAAACATGAGCTCGTGCCGGCGTCGGCCCTGTAGCTCGCGCGCGTGCCGCTTGCATCACGCGCCCGGCGACGAGGAGATCGCGGGCGGGAATCTCGGGAGCTGAGCGGGGCGAGCGGGCAGCGCGGAGGCCAAGGACGGTTGTCACGAACGCGTCGGCCGATCCACGGGCGCCTCCGTCACCCTCCTCCGCCCCGAGATCCGACGTCTGGCCATCGCTCGGACGTCCATTCCCTGTGCGTTTTTCGGTTTCGTGCGGTTTTTTTTTCGCCAAATGATCAAGGATGCTCCTCGATGGTCCTCGCCGAGAACAAAAATGCACACGTCCGAGCGATGCCAGGACGTTGCAAACCAACATGCAGCATCGCGGAACATCACGACCTGCGCCCTGGCCCCCATCTCCCTGCGGCATCTCTCGAGGCGGCTCCACCTGTGCGGGCCCCCGGGCCCCCCAAGACAGGCGAGCACGCCCGGTGCGGAGAAACTGCAGTGCCCAGCCCGGGTCCGAGGTGCACTCCGTCGACGCGAGGCCTCCCCCCAAAAAGGGGGTCCGAGCGGATGGGGCCGGAGGATCGCGCCGCCGCGTCGATGCTACCTCGGCGATGCATCGGCGACGTCGGCGCTGCATCGGCGGCGCCGACGTGCAGCCCACACGGGATCCACCACGAGCCGCGCCGCCGACGCGTCGGCGCGGCGGCGCGGTCCTCCCGGCCACATCCCATCATAGCAGAGCGGTGGGCCGCGCATGACAGCAAACATCGTCCACGTCTTGAGTCAGTTACGTGCTGCACCTCACTCCTTGTTCCTGAAGACGAAGACGAAGAACGAAGAAGAAAGAACGAAGAACGTCTCAAACGTCCGCCCCAAGGTATTCATAAGGAAAGGGAGGAGGAGGAGGAGGAGGAGGAGGAGGAGGAGGAGGACCAGGAGGAGGAGGAGGAGGAGGGGGAGGAGGAGGAGGAGGAGGACCCCATCTGAAGACGAAGAACGGCATAGACGCAAACCTTCGGCGCTCCGCGCGGATTTGTCTTGGACACGCTGGACCCCCCCCCCCACGGCGCGCGAAGCGCGCCCAGGGCGGCGCCGGGGGCGCTGCCGGGGGGAGGCCCCGCACGGATCCAAGAGATCCGCGGGGCGCGCCCAACGTGGAACGTGAACGGCGGTTTCTCTTCCCCGACGGCACTCATCTGGCCATCGCTCGGACGTCCATTCCCTGTGCTTTTTTGGGTCGGTTTCGTGCGCGGTTTTCGCAGGAGGATCCAGGATGCTCCTTCATACTCCCCGCCGAGAGAAAGTGCACACGTCCGAGCGATACCAAGTGTCCTTTCGTGAAAACTGCGTGAACGCAACCTTCCGGCGCGCCGCGCGGATTTCTGGAACCCGCTGGACCCCCCCTCCGCGGATTTCCTCGACCCGCTGGATCAAAGAAACCCGCACGGAGCGCCAGAAGTTCCATGTGTGTGGCGTGTTCTCTCTTTGGACGCCCGACATGGGTACGGAAAAAATGGGTACAATGCCCAGCAACATATGTTGTCCCAAACCAACAGCGGCCGCTGTTGGGCAGGCGGCCTTCTGCCTCGAATGGACACAGGCCGCGGCGGCGTGGACAGCGAATCCTGTTCAACAGGAACTGCTGCTGGGCATTGTGCCCATTCTTTCCGTACCCACTTCGGGCGCCCAACTGTTCTCTCCTTCGCCTGCGCTCCCCCCGTCCGCCCGTCCTGGACCCGCTGGACCCCCTCTCCGCGGAGCTCCTCGACCCGCTGGATCCGAGAACTCCGCGCGGAGCGCCAAAGTCCCACATGTGTGCGGCGTGCTCTCTCCTCCGCCTGCGCTCCCCCCGTCGGCCCCCCGGGCGCCTCCGTCACCTTCCGCTTCTCGGCCCCCAGGCCCGCCTTCTGCTCGCGGCGCTTCGCCTCGCCCCGCGCGCGCGCGCCCACAGCGGGCGTGGGGCGATGGAGGCCTCCGCGCGAGCCCCGGGGAGGCGCGCCTCCGCCTCCCCGGGAGGGAGGGGGGGGGCGCGCGGAGGCGCCCCGCCGCCGGAGCCTGCCCCCTGGGGAAGGTCGAGGGGGGGAGGGTCGAGGGGGGGACGGTCGAGGGGGAGGAGGGAGGGAGGGTCGAGGGGTCGAGGGGGGAAGGTCGAGGGGGGAAGGTCGAGGGGGGAAGGTCGAGGGGGGAAGGTCGAGGGGGAGGAGGGAGGGAGGGTCGAGGGGTCGAGGGGGGAAGGTCGAGGGGGGAAGGTCGAGGGGGGAAGGTCGAGGGAGGAGGGTCGAGGGGGGGACGGTCGAGGGGGGAAGGTCCGAGGGGGGAGGGTCGAGGGGGGAGGGTCGAGGGACGGCGGGCGGGGGCCTCGGGACGGGGTCCAAAAAACGCGTCGCGAGAACGGGCTGTCAGGACGCAGGGCCCTCGGAGGCCAAAGTTGGGACTCGTCGGGCGGCGGGCGGCCAGTGAAAACGGCCGGGGACGGGCCGCAGAGGCAGGGACACAAGGGTACCCTGGATGAAGGCGCGCGTCCTTACTACTGGTGGGCGCGTTGATTGGAAGGGTAGAGGATGAGGATGTGGACCTACGGATGGGGAACTGAGGATAAGAATGGGATCTTGAGGGATGGGGACCTCAGGATAGGAAAGGATGCAGGGTGGATTTACTTTGTTTGAGGCACCTCGTCCTCAGGACCCCATCCCTCAGGACTCCATCGCTGACCCGCCGAAAATGGAAGGGGGTGGGGAAGGAGGGGGGGAGGATGGAAGGGGAAAGTAGGGGATCTTGGACATGATAATCACGTGGAGAGGAAGCTGGAGCAGAAGGATTCGGGGGGAGATCGAGGGGGAGGAGGGATGCTTCTTGCTGTCATCAACGGCAGCGCCTCCTGAACCCAGGACTTTGCCCAGAGAGAGAGAGAGAGAGAGAGAGAGAGCACCTGCAGCGGAGGCTGGTGCAGGGCACGCCGATAGTCATGGCTGCCAGCCTGTAAACAAACCAGCCCGATCCCGACCCCGACTCCACCCCAAGGTTTAGGCCGGGCATGTCTCCCTACAGGCGGATTTCGAGCGACAAATCAAGAATAGTCAAAAGATACTCCCAAATGGTCAACAATAGTAGAAACATCGTCCCCATACTGTTTTGTTGTTACTAGTTTTGAGTATCCTTCCTGCAGAGGGACACGCCCGACCTCACCCGAGGTCCTCCCCCGAAGTGGCGCGAGTCGCCTCCTCTCCTCTGAAGAGAGGCGGACGTGTGCTCGAGCACGGCGCGGGCGTCGGCCAGCGTGGGCAAAAGGGGAGGATGGATGGAGAGGACAGGGGATCTCGGAACGGGGAAAAAGGATCACGTGGGGAGGAAGCTGGAGCAGAAGGTTTCGGTGACGGAGGGGGAGAAGGATCTGGAGGCGAGGGGAGGAGACGCAGTTGGATGGGGATGCTTCCCGGCGCTGCCGTGGGCTTTGTAAGGAGAAGCGGGGATGGAGGAGGACGAGGAGGACGAGGAGGAGGAGGAGGAGGAGGAGAGGAGGAAGGAGGAGGAGGAGGAGGAGGGAGGAGGGGAGGAGGGGAGGAGGGGAGGAGGAGGACGACGAGGAGGGGAGGAGGAGGGAGTAGGGAGGAGGAGGGAGGAGGCAGGAGGGAGGAGGGAGGAGGGGAGGAAGGGAAAGGAGGGGGGAAGCGGAGGGGACGACCGCGACCCGGCACAGCCATGCATCTGCACCCCCGTGGCAGAAGCGCCACGGGCCCGGGGGAGCGCACGGGGACGAAGGGGGGCTCCGCGATCCGCGATCCCGTTTGGCCTACGACTCCGCGGCTCGCGATGCTTCGGGGTCCCGCAGTCTGCGATGTCGGGGATCCGCGCGCGGATCGCGCTCCTCCGGCGCTGCCGCGACGCGCGACTTCGCGGTGCGCAGGGCGGGCACCTCGCCGATCCCGTGGCCGGGCTCGCCGCCCGGGCCCCGCCGCGCCTCCGCCGCCGGAGCGCTGCGGGCTGCGGCCCCAGAGCCCTGCTGGGTGGAGGCGGCCGGCCCGCTCTCACCGGGGAGCCCGGGGTCCCGGGTCACCCGGCTTCTTACAGGGCAGTTTTTAATACATGGGATTTTAATATATATATATGTATATATATATATATATCGGATTTTTAATACATGACTAATGTATGAATGAACTTATGCATGAGCTCATCGTTGTTTTTAGTACTAAATCCCTGCTTTTTCAATGCATGATCCGCACGCGGAGCATGTATAAAAAAACGGCACTGTACGTTGTTCGGGGATGGACGGACCCCCCTTTAGTAAAACGTGGTTTAGTGAGAACGACCTGGGGCCCAAATCTGGCGGGCGCAAGCCTGGAAAATGACGGCCACGGCGCCCTCTCGAGAACCGAAAACGGACAATTCACTAATCGACGTGTCACTGTTGGGGGTTCTGTCCACCCCCGTGTTGTTCCCATCGTACTCCAGGAGCACATCCCAGAAATAATTTCGAGCACCCGGACAAGTGTCGAAAGAGCGTCGAAAGAGCGTCGGGCGAGCGTCTCCTGGGGCCGGGCGCGTGAGAACCCTCGAGGTGCGGTAATTACTCTTCTGGCGCTCGAAATTATTTCTCGTGGTCAAGGCTAAAACAGGTTGGAACATCAAAACCAGCTCCACGCATCGCGCTCCGCGCTCCGCGCTCCGCGCTGCGCCGCGCGCGGTGCATCCTCGCGCCCCCGCGCCCCCGCGCCGCTCTCGCGGAGCAGGGCAGCCACTCCGGCCCAGGCCGCCACGCGCGCAGCGAGATCGTCTTCGCGCCCTGGCGTGTGACACTCGAATGGCTGCAGCACGCCAGCGACCAGCCCGGGGGGGAGGCGAGAGGGGGCAGGCCTTCTCAGACGGCTCGGGAGGCCTCTGGCCCCCTGAGAAGCTGTCTGAAGGCCGCCCCCGAAGACGCAGAGGACTTCTCAGAAGGCCAGAGGGCTTCTGAGAAGCCCCGCCGCCTTCTGAGAAGGCCTGCTCCGTCTCGCTTCCCCCCCCCCGGGGGCTCGCCGCAGGACCGCAGCAGGGGCAGCCGCTCTGGCACCGGCACGCCGCGACCCTCAGAGATCGCAGTGCCGATGGTGGGAGGAAACAGAGGAGGAGGATGATGATGACGAGGAGGAGGAGGAGGAGGGCTAAGAGGAGAAGGAGGAGGGCTACGACGAGGAGGAGGAGGAGGAGGAGGAGGAGGAGGAGGAGGATGAGGAGGGCTAAAAGGAGGAGGAGCTCTCGGAGCTCCGCCCAGAGTTCTCTTGGATCGGCGCTGCACCCCCTCCCTGGCGTGCGAAGCGCCCCGGGGGCGGCGCTTGGAGGCACCGCCGGGGCCCGGGGCCGATCCAAGACATCCGCGCGGATCGCCGAAAGCTTATGCTCATGCCATTTGTTCTTCTTCGAAACACGTGCGGTGGCGTGGTGGGGATGCCACGGTGCGGACACGGTGTCGCACTGCGCGCAACGTAACGCACTTGCCTTCGCAATGCGCCAGCCTCTGCCACAAGCCGTGAGGGGCCTGTTGATGGACCACCTCCGGGCAACCCGGACTGGAGTATTCGGGGTGGGTTAGGCCAGGGCTCGACCAAAACAATGTTTATCGTCTTCGTTGTGTTTTCGTTTCCCTTCGTTTTGTCTTCGTTCCGCCTTCGCGGCAGAGCGAAATCAGAACGAAAACGGTGCATGAAATCGCCAGACACCTCTCAAGTCGAGCCCTGGGTGTGACGTGTTGGCGGCAGAGGAGTGGCACCGTAGGGGGCTGGATGGTGGCCGCTCCTCTGGGGCCACAAGCCTCGAATCGTTTTCGGCGTGCAGCCGATGCTGGTAACCACTGCAGTCCGTCAGTCTTGCGCCGGGGGGGGCTTTCGACGAGGACCCCATGACAAAAACTCAACACGTCAAACAAGAGCGCAGCGGTCGAGGAACGACCTGTGATTGGGAGATCCAGGAACACGGCTGACGCAATTGGCACAGGTGTTTCTGAGGCCGACGCGTAACGGCCAGTAACCCCCTCACACACCAGATCTGGAAGAGAGGTCGGGTCTAGCAAACTGCTGCGCAGTCCGTCGCCAGATACAGTCGGGGCGTTGACCTAAGGAACCCTACATAAGGAATGAGGCCCCTTCTTCCCATCAGATAAACTTCCATTTCCCAGTGAGAACCTAAGGAAAACACAGGGCAAACTGTAAAACAATCAAGGAACACCGAGCCCCTCCCCAACGATAAGGGTTCCTTCTTCAGCGCCCCGACTGTATCCAAGCCCGTTCACAACGCTTCCCTCCCCGTGCGCCCTCCCTTCCCTTGCTCCTAGCCCTTCTTCCTCGAAGGGGCCCTGGGACACACAAGTAAATACACACAAATAAAACGATCCCCCATATTTTCCCATGTTGTCTGGGCTTTTGCCTTCCCCCCCACTTCCCATATTTTCCCATACGTTCTGGGCAATCGACGATTAATTGTGTCTGTGTGTTTCTTTCCCTCCTGATTCCTCCCACGCTTCCTTCTCCCCTCTTCCCCCCTCCCGCAACTGCTCGCACTTCAACGGTGATGTGTGGTGTGCAAGGCAGAGCGAAGGCGAGGACGAGCATACTCAACGGAATCTGAGATCAGGCGAGGCGGCACCTTTGTGCGACAGCGGGGATCAACAAAGGATTACCTGGGCGTGGCAGCGCGAGTCACCGACGTCCTCTGCAGGATCGGTCAGCATCGAATCGGGAAATCGGGTCGAATCGGAATCCGATCGGGCCGCATCGGCATGGAGTCGAGATCGGAGCGAGCCGGCTGCGCCAGGACGCACAACAACGCCACGCAAGTATCGGGCAACATTCAGGAGGGAAAGAAACACACAGACATAATTAATCGTCGATTCCCAGGAAAATATGGGAAAATATGGGAAGTGGTGGGGAAGACAGAAACCCAGAAAACATGGGGAAATATGGGGAATCCTTGTATTTGTGTGTATTTATTTGTGTCCTGGGGCCCCTTCAAACATCGGATCGCCGGGAAATTGAAACCGAATCGGGTCGACAGCGAATCGGATCGATCGGATCGAGATGGGCCCTGCGCCGTGAGCGCAACAAAACGCTGGGAACCGAGGCCGCCCTCCGCACCCCGGCTGGGAGCCAGAGAGCCACAGCGACGGCTCCCCGGGGCGCCGTGCAACTCTGTGTGTGCTTGTTAGCTGCACGCCGGCACGCATGTGCTCCGCACCTTCAGTCTGCCTGCCAGTGCGCCCTCAGAGCTCAAGTCGGGCGTGTCCCCCTACGAGAAAGGTCCAGATCACAACCGGTCGGGTGAGATCACAACCGGACGGGTCAGATCACAACCGGACGGGTCAGATCACAACCGGACGGGTCAGATCACAACCGGACGGGTCAGATCACAACCGGACCGGTCGGGCGTGTCCCCCTACAGGGGGATTTCCGACGAAAAAGAAGAAATACTCAAGAAACACTCCCAAAATAGTCCCCAGACTATTGTTTGGTCATTTTCGAATATTCCTCCTGTAGAGGGAGGGGCCCGACTCAACTCAAAGCGCGGCTTCGCTCGCTCGTCCGCGCCGTGAGCGCCACCGCGAGCAGCCCGCGCCCGCGAGCGCCTGGGCGGCGGGGGCGCCTGCAAGCAGTCCGTGCGCCCGTGCTTCCGCCGCCCGAGGCCCTCGCGCGGCCGCGCGCCGCCGCGAGGCGCTGATGCGGGGCGAGAGGGCGGCGGCGGCTGCCAGAGTCGGCGGCGAGCGAGGGGGGGAAGCGAGAATGAAGTCGGGCCTGTTCTACTACATGGGGATTTTTGGACGAAAAATAATACATAGTCAAAACATACCCCCAAATGGTAAAAAAATACTGCAAACAAATCCCCAGACTATTTTTTGAGTATTTTTTTGGATATTCCTCCTGTAGAGGGGCACGCCCGACTGAAAGCGAGAAGGAGAAGGCCTTCTCAGAAAGCGGCGGGACTTCTTCGAAGCCCTCGCGCCTTCTGAGAGGTCTGCTGCCTCTGGGGAAGGTTGAGGCTCTTAGGACACTTCTCAGAGGGCTGAGCGGGACTTCCGAGCCTGCTGAGAAGGCTTTCTCCTTCTCACTTCCCCCCCTGGGCTCCCCAGCGATACAAGGGGAACATTTTGTTCACTCGCGGCGATGGCGGGCGTGAGGGTGGGGGGGGAGAAGAAGGATGGCCGTACCGCCCCTCCGCCGTGAGGGGGGTGAGAAAAAGGAAGGCCGTGTGGGTCCGGCACCACAACCTGTGGTGCCAGACATAACGCAGCTCCCCCCCCTCCGCCGTGTGGGTCCGGCACCACAGACTGCGGTGCCGGCCGCACTGCAGCGAAGCGGGGGACGCACTGCGGGTCCGGCACCACAGACCGCGGTGCCGGGCGCGCTGCAGCAGTGCGGGGGACGCACTGCGAGGGGGGAGCGTCACGTTATATGGCGGGGGCCTGGGGGGGGGACAGGGGGCATGACGCGCGTCATGGCCTACAATGAAACAAAAAACAATCTCAAGAAAAAGTTTCGAGGACACGCGCGCATGGATCAGCGACGCGTGGATTACTTGCGGGCCCCGCCTCCGTGCAGCAGAACAGGCGCGCTTCGTCGCCAACTCGGGCGGCACTGGCCTCACGTCTTGGGGGGGTCCCCCATCCGTGTTGGCGTGTGCCCGGGTGAAGAGGCTCGGGGGACCGATGCGCGGCTGGCCTCCAAACCTAGGCCTAGGTCGGGCCTGTCCCCGTACAGGGGGATCTTGGATGAAATTAATAAAGTACGCAAGAAAAGTTCAAAAGATGCCCAAAAATATTCAGAAACAGTCCCCAGACTATTTTTTGACTATTTTTGAGTGCTCCCCCTGCAGAGGGACACGCCCGACTTAAACCTGGGCCTTCTCGGAAGGCTCCGGAGACCTCTGGCCTCCTCGAGAAGACCTGCCCCCTGCCGCCTGCCCCCCTCCGGCGCGCCGCCGGCCCTCCCATGAGACGCTGCTGCCGGACGAAGACGGGGCGGAGGAGAGGCGGAGAAGGTGCGGCCGATGAGGGGAAGGATTGGTGGCGAGCGAGGGGGGAAGTGAGAAGGAGAAGGCCTGCTCAGAAGGCGGCGGGACTTCTCAGAAGCCCTCGCGCCTCCTGAGAAGTCTTCTATGTCCTCGGAGAACGCTTAGAGAAAACTTCCCAGAGGGGGGGGGACTTCCGAGCCTTCTGAGAAGGCCCGCCCCTCCTCACTTCCCCCCTTCGCTCGCCGCCGAAAGGAGGGGGCGGGGGTGGCGGTAGCGGCAGGGCGTGGATCTGAGTGAGCAGGGGCCCTCATCGGTCGGAAGAGGTGGGCAGAAACCAATGCGTTGAGGGCAGATTGGGTCTCCGCCCGCCCCCCGAAGAGGGGAGAAGAAGGCTGACCGCTGGTGGATTGCAGTAGGCAGGCGCCTGTGGTAGACCGGGATCTGGGGTCCTCACAACACGCACGGTCAACGACCGATGGGCAGCTGTCCGGTCAAATGGGTGGCAACGTTAGGGGGGGCCAGTTCAGGGGCGGAAACATCGACCTGGAATCGGCGATACATCGCCGATATATATATATATATATACACACACACTAGAACCATCGCGCGCGCTTCGCGCGCGTTCAGGTTCTAATAGGCCCCAGGCCTTGACGAATTCACTGCTCCACTGAAGTAGTGGACCACAGTGCACGCATGCCAATGTGCATTCCGAAAGGCCTTCGAGGAAAATGGTTGTGTAGGGGGGCGGAGGCCGTATGAATCGGGTTCCCAGAAGGCCTTCTGGGAGCATGGGTTTGGGGGGATCTTGGGGAGCCTGTTGGGGCGTGCCGTCGTCGTCGTCGTCGTCGTCGTCGTCGTCGTCGTCGCCGTCGTCGTTGTCGTCGTAATGTCGTCGTCGCCTATTGGGGCGCGCCGTCGTCGTCGTCGTCGTCGTCGTCGTCGTCGTCGTCGTCGTCGTCGTCGTCGGCGTCGTCGTCGTCGTCGTCGTCGGCGTCGTTTCGTCGTCGTCGTCGTCGTCGTCGTCGTCGTCGTCGGTTCAAGAGGGCACTTGGGGCAACTTTGGGCGAAAGGATCTGCGGAGGGCCGCGAGACGGCGATCTGTCATGTTCCCAATCAACTTCCCAGACAACTCTCCTGTAGCATGATGGTACTTCGAAGCCTCGGAGACTCGAGGGCCCATGATGAACCATGTCCCTGGAAGGCTTTCTGGGGGCATGGTTTGTTGGGGAGTGTTGGGGGGTCTCTTGGGCGTGCCCTGGGGGCCCCTTGGGGGCCTCCGGGAACTCTCGGGCCCATGATGAACCATGTCCCCGGAAGGTTTTCTGGGGACATGATTTCTTGGGGTGTGTTGGGGGGCCTCTTGGGCGTTCCCTGGGAGCCCCTTGGGGGTCTCTTGGGGCTTCCTGGGGGCCTCTTGGGCGCCTCACGGGGCTTCGTGGGAGCCTCTTGGTGGCCTCCGGGGGCTTACAGGCGGCCTCTAGGGCCAGAGACCTCGAAATATTGGTTGGCGGTCCCCCTCTGGGCCCTCTCTTGGCGAGCTCTTGGGGCACAGTTGGGTTGTCTGGGGAGCCTCCTGGGCCGTCTTGGGGCCCTCTTCGGGGCCTCGTGGCCCGTCTTGAAGCGATCTGAAGAGCCTCCGAGCGAGGCCGTGAGGGAGCGCTGGGAAGCGGGGAAAGCGAGAACGCCTAAATCTTTCAAAAACCATCGGAAAATTAGTTCTCGTCGGCCGTCTGGAGGGCAGCTTGGGCGTCTTCGGAGCTCCTTGGGACCGTCTAGGGCCCTCTCGGGACCTCCATTAGCCTGTCGTGGCCTGCTTCGGGGCGGGCCCCGGCCGCCTCGGGACCCCTCTGTGCCTTTTCTTGGCGCGCTCTCGGGGCACACTTGGATTATCTGGGGAGCATCCTGGGCCGTCTTGGGGCCCTCTTCGGGGCCTCGTGGGCCTTCTTGGAGCGATCTGCAGGGTCTCCGAGGCCGTGAAGGGAGCGCTGGAAAACGGGAAAAGCGAGAACGCCCAAATCAAAAACACTCGGAAAACGGGTGAATCTTGCCTTCCAGGGCCCTCTTGGGAAGCCTCTTGATTCCGTCCTGGAGCGTGTTGGAGTCCTCGTCGGCTGTCTGGAGGGCATCTTGGGTGTCTTCGGGGCCTCGTGGGACAGTCTTGGGCCCTCTCGGGACCCCATTAGCCTGTCGTGGCCTGCTTCGGGGCGGGCTCGGGCCGCCTCGGGAGCTCTGGACCCCCCCCGCAACCCCCGGTGGGCAGCACCGATGGGGGGAACAGGCAGCGGCCCGCCCCCCCCCCTGGGCCTAATTACTCCGAGATAGAGAATCATGTTCCCGGAAAGCTTTCGGGGAGCATGATTTGTTCGGCTCTCTAACAAGGGGGCCGCTGGGGGCTTACCGAGGGGCGCCTTTTGACCTTGTCGGCAAGCCTATTGGAAACATGGTTGGGGCGTTGGGCGGAAGCCCAAGGAATCATGTTCCCGGAAAGCTATCTGGGAAATACGATTTACCGAAGTGTCTTAGGGGCCCGCAGGGGGCTTCCCTGGGGGCGTCCTAGGAGCCTCTCAGGCTGGAGACCTTGAAATGTCGCGCTCTTCGGGCCCTTTGGGTCGCTCTTGGGGCTCTCTTGGGGCGCTCTCGAGGCTCTCTTGACTTATCTGGGGAGCCTCCTGAGCCGTCTCTGAGCTTTCTTGGGAGCCTCTTCGGCCGTCTTGGAGCGATCTGAACGGCCTCTGACGCGATCCGGGACCGTGTGGAGGCAGAACATGGGAGAGCGCAATAATGCTCCAAAAACAATTGGAAAATTAATAATTTTCGGCTTCTGGGGCCCTTTGGAGGGGCACTGTGAAGACGAAGCCAGCGAGTATGCTGAACATGTACGTTTTACGAATGCAAGGGGCCGATTTTTGCCTCTTGAAGGCCCTCTTGGGGCCCTCACGGGCCCTCTTGGGGAGCTCTTGGGCGTCTTCGGGGCTCTTCAGGCTTTCTTGACCATCTGTACGGCCCGCGTGGCCGGTCGTGGGCAACTTGGAAGCGGCCCGGGGCACAGTCCCGGGGGGTCTGTGACCCCCCAAAGGTTCGGGGGGGCGGCCATAGGGGATGACGGCACCGATTTTGGGCCCCCCCCCCGGCCTACTCATATATTATATGTATATATAGATATATATATATATATATATATATATATATAGATATATCGGCGATGTGCCCCCGATAGCGCATCCGCATGCTCCTGGGCGGGGTGGGCTATCGGCTATCGGGCCCCCATCGTCGGTGAATGGGCGATTGGGGTCGATGGATCCCCCCGGAGCCCCTTCCGCCCTTCAAATCTCGCCGGCCTCAACGGCTCGGAGGAGAACAGAAGGCAGCGGAGACATCTCGAGCGCGCCCACGGGCCCCGTCCGTCCCCGCCCTTCCCCGAATCACGCCGGCAGCACTCAACCTTGGCCGCCCCGGCGTGCCTGCGCCGGGCCCGTGTCGTGACGACCCCGGCGTCGGCTTGTGACGCCACGTGGATCATTCCACTCCATCGACGCAGCCCTCGTGCTTCTCTCCCTCTGGCCCTTCCCTGTGACCTTTTCCCCTCCTCCTCTCCCCCTTACTTCGGGGGCGGCCAAGAGGGGGGTGCCCAAGAGGGGGGGGGTGCAAATTATGACCGGCGGCATGTGCGCGGCCCAGCGGGGGGGCCAGGGACGTCATGAAATAAGGAGAGGCGCCATTAAATCTGGGGATATATCATGGCCCCCGCCAGGATATCCCCCCCCCCCTAGTCATCACCCCCCTCTTTGCCGCCGCCGATCAATCCCCCTCCCCTCCCTGCCCCCCCTTCAGCGATCGGCGGCTTTTCGACCGCCAGATCGTTCCGTGTAGTGGGCGATGCTGCGCCACGGGCGGCTCTCAGCCTCTCGAGAGCGCCCACGGCGGGGTCGCCGCCGCGTGGACACGGCCCGACTGCAGTACCGAAGCATGCCCCCGCCCTGGATCCGGCCCGCACCATCCTCCCCATGGCACTTCTCGCTCCAGAGGTCGGAAAGGGGTACGGTCGGACTCGATTGGTCAGGACACGCGAGAGGACACAAGACCCTTCTGAGGGCCACATCGCCACAGGAATGTTGGAAGCATGGATCGCGAGACACAGGACACAAGGGTACCCTTGATCTGGCAGGGCCGACCTGCTAATCTGGGCCGACGGTATGGCCTAAGGGGGTGTGGTGCCAATCGCGGAACTCGAGATGCTATCTGCGATAGATGGCATCGCCCGACTCAGCATTGACACCGTACCCCTTTCTGCGCCACGCCCCTTTCCTGCCTCCAGACTTGCGCGAGGCGTGCGCGCAGAGCCCCACTCCGCCGGGGCAGATCGCAAGGTCGGACACAGACTGTGCAGACGCACGAGCAGAATGGCATCAGATGGGAGGCCGTTCAGTCTCTTCGCGGCGGCGCCTGCATGCAACGCAGGACGAACACGATACTAACGGCGCATCGGATGGCGAGATGCAAGATGGACCGACCGCACACATACTCGCCAACGTGCCCCGAGCCGCAAAGTGGAGCGTATTGGAATACAGTCGGGGCGTTGACCTACGGAACCCTAAATAAGGAACGGGGCCCCTTGTTTCCATAAGTTAAAACTTCGATTCCCCATCGAAAACCTAAGGATAACCTAAGGCAAGCTGC